ATGAACTTACTCAATAATGAACTTAATAATGAACTTACTCAATAATGAACTTAATAATGAACTTACTCAATAATGAATTTACTCAATAACGAACTCAATAACGAACTTACTGTTATACTGTATTACTTTAACCAAACCTTATCGTTATTGTTAACCTTACGTAATCAAGGTAAGCAAGGTAGATCAATAGCATAACATAAAAAAATATAATACAACGATAATAATATATGTACTAAATAAGAAATGATTATAATATTCTACGTAAATGATAAACGTACGTACTAAATAAGAAATGATTATATAATATTTAAATAACGATAAGAAATACGATCCAAAAAATGATAAATCTGTGATTATCAGTATAAAATAGTTTTTCTTTGAAGTGTGAATGTAAATAAATCTTTTCCTTCAAGATGAATTTTGAAAATAAATTACGCTTTTATCTTAATGGTACAAATGTCGAAATCGATAATCCTGACCCGGCTACTACTTTACTTAATTATGTTCGGTCTATTGGATTAACTGGGTATTTTAGAATCGCTTAATTTTTTTTTTTTTCGATCACCTATAATTTACCATTGGAAATATTTTTAGAACAAAGTCGGGATGTGAAGAGGGTGGTTGCGGTATTCTATTATTATTATTATTATTATATTTTTTTTTAAAAAAAATTTCTTCAAATGAAATGATTGGTTAATTCATTTATTCATCAAAAAAAGGTGCTTGTACTATAATGATATCTTCTTATGATAAAAAATCCGACAAGATTTCCCATATTTCGGCTAATGCTTGTTTGACACCATTATGTTCTGTTGATGGTAAACATGTCATAACAATCGAAGGAATTGGGAATGTTAAAAATCCCCACCCTGTTCAGGTGTGTATTATTATCATAAATGTTATGATTGAGATTTAATCTTAATGCTATAAATTAATGATACAATAAATTATTAGGAACGTATAGCCTTGTTGAATGGGTAAATTATATATTTTTTTTTATACGTATCATATCTACTTAAATTGGTAGTTTGCCTATTTGAAACCTTTTTAACTGTATTATAACTATTTAGTTCGCAATGTGGATTTTGCACTCCAGGAGTTGTAATGTCACTTTATAGTGTATTACGCAATAATCCGAATCCTTCTGAGGAAGAGGTTGAAGAATGTTTTGATGGTAATCTCAATTCTTTCGTACATACCATAATAATTATTGAATTTCATAATAAAACATCTTGTCATTTTAGGTAATCTTTGCAGATGTACTGGTTATCGCCCTATACTGGATGCCGCAAAGACGGTAAATATATATATATATATTTATTTGTGTGTACGATTTGTTTTTTTAAGAACCTAATAAACTTATATTCCTCAATAGTTTGCGAATAATATGGAAGTCGATGGTCCTTATGAAAATCATAAGCCTCAAGAGGTATAATCAAAATAAATTCATATATTAATACATTATCTCTAATTTAATTGCTGATTTGTCTCACTTAGAATGGAGGATGTGGTAAAGCCGATTGCTGTAAATTGAATAATGTTGATACTAATTTCGATCATAACTTTACGCAAGTAAGTAATTTTTGTTAGAATTTGTGATATTTGAAATGCTCAACACAAATTTAATTCATTTAAATTATTTTATAACGTAAGATAAAATTCAAACAATATGATGCAACTCAAGAATTGATTTTTCCTCCAGCCTTAATGAAATGTGAACTTAAACCTTTGAATTTTTATAGTAGCAAAACAAAATGGTTCAGACCTGTTGATTTGAATCAGTTATTATTCTTGAAATCAGAGTATCCAAATGCTACATTGGTATCTGGCAATACTAGAATTGGTATAGAAAAAAAATTTTTGAATTTGCATCATGAAATTTTAATTTATATTGGTGATATACCAGAATTGAAATCTTGGGAATTTAAAGGTAATTATGTTATTTTAATATTTAAATGTTAATTTATATCATATAATTTCACCAAATTTTTTATTTATAATTACATTTAGATGATGGATTATATCTTGGTGCAAATATGAGTATTTCTCAAGCCAAAAAAGTGTTAAAAGAAGCATGCAATCATTATAAGGTTTTTAAGAAAATAATTTAACTTACGTTTTTCACATTTTTTTTTGATATTCAATCATTTAAATTTTCTGAAATTACATTTTATACTTTCTACGTTAAAGCCTCATCAAAGTCAAATATTCGAAGCACTTTTAGAAAATCTTAAGAGATTTGCTACTAATCAAATCCGTCAGGTTTCCACATTGGGTGGAAATATTATTGCTAACATATCAAACTCGGATTTGATTCCTTTTATTCTTTCATCTAAATCTATATTCTATCTTACTTCTTTGCAATCTACATCACCAAGAAGTCGACCTATTCCGTCTGTATCTTTTTGGACGGGATATAAACAAGACTGTCGTGAAAGTTCTGAAATCTTGGAAAAGATTTTTATTCCATGCTCAAAACAAGGCCAATATTTCAGAACTTATAAACAGTCTAAAAGGCATTATGGTGATACCGCCATTGTTAATGCAGCTGTCGTCAGAGCTCCAAAATCAGAAAATTTTATTTCTGGTAAAAAGTGGGGTGATGAAAATGTGTTAAAACAATTACTTAAAATATTATGTGAGGTATATACATAATTTTCATTAATTTATCATTTTCATAAAGTTATTCAACTAAAAATCTTATTTCATCATCATAATTATAATTATAATAGGAATTTCCATTAAGTTTTTCTTGTGTTGGTGGAATGGCAACTTATCGTAAATCATTAGTAGTTGGGTTTATGAATAAATTTTGGTATGATGTTACAAAATCTGCAAACATAGGAAAGGTTAGTTCTGATATAGAAAATTGTATTGGAGAAATCAAACGCGATATCTCTAAAGGTAGTCAAACCATAGGTCGACCAGAGTAAATATTTAATTTAAAATAAAATTTAGTG